CACACACACACACACAAACAGAGCGAGAGACACATGTACGTGCAGCAGCAACAGCGCGAGACCCCACACCATCGTCTCACTCCCCATTCAGGCGAACGTTCTTCTCCGTTGCTTCCTTTTCTTTTAGAACTTCTTGTTGGAGCGCTGCTGCCGTGCCGCCTCGAACATCGACTTATGGGCACGCCCCTTGTTGAGGAAGTTCTCCGCGTTGCGCGTCCACCGACGGCTCACCTGGAACTGGTAGAAGTCGGAGAAGCAACTCTTCTGCCGCTTGCGCCGGTGCATCGGTCGCTCAGACGTGTCCTCAACGTCGTCGTCTCCGCCGAATGTGGAAGCCAACTGCGTCGTGTCAACGTCCGCCACATCGGCGTTCTGCGCCATCTGCCGCACCACTTCCTTCACGTTGCGCGGCACGACGTAGCGGAAGCCGTCCTTGTCGCCGCCGCGCCGGTTGATCTCCTTCAGCTCCCGCAGCCGCTTCGCCGCCGCCCGCCGCATCGCGGACTCCCGCTTACCGAGGTCTTTGAAGTACGAGTGGGCGTTGTGCAGCAGCGTGTCCGCGCTGACCACCTCGCTGCGCTTCTGCTCCGCATAGTCCTCGAGAAAGGGAAGGCAGGGGTACTGCAGCAGCTCGTCCACACCAGCGCCAGCCGCCGCCGCCGCCGCCGATGGCGCCAGTGGGTCGTGCGCACCTTCCTCACCACGAATGGCTCGCTCAATCAGCAGCCGGTCCAATTCCTTCGGCGATAACTCTTGCTGCTGCTGCTGCTGCTCTTGTGGGGCAGAATCACTCACAGTTGTCGTTCCGAGAACCACACGGCTCTTCTTCGCCTTCTTTCCCCCCTTCACCGACACTGTGGATGCCTTCTTTGCACTGGCGTTGACCTTCTTCTCCCCTTTCTTCTTGGTGGTTGCGGTGACACTTTTCCCCTTCTTTTCCTTCTTCGCCACATTCTTCTTTTTCTTCTTACCGACGCTAGAGCTGCTGTTAAAGCCCCTCTCCGCCGCCGCCGCTGCCTCCTTCTTCTTGGCGATGAACTTTATCTTCTTGATGTAATTCTTGTTCGCCGTCAGCGGCGGCAGCAGCGCGGCGGGGCGTAGCTTCTTCCCCGTCATGCTGCCCGACACAGTTGGAGGGAAGGCTGCAACGCATGAGTCACAGCGGTAGAAGCGAAACAAAGAGAAAAGTGCATTAAGGATCAACAACAAAAGGGAAAAGCAACAGAGTTGAAGGCAATGTCGCGCACACATTCACGCTGACACATGCAGAATCACCAGGCACAATGTAGACGTGTTGCACATTGGGTTTTATTCCACTTCGTCCGTTTGCTCTTCTGTATGCTGCCGCATTTGCGCTCCTCCCAGCAGAAAAGAATATATATATATATATGCGTGTGTGTGTGTGGGCGAATGATTAAGGGGGAAAATGTGAGGGAGTGGGCATGTGGTGGTGGACGAGCAGAAGGAGGAGGAGGAGGAGGAGGAGGGGCGCGCGGCAGACTGCAGCGCATGGGGCCAATGGCGATTCTCCCATACACAAAGCACCATCAAACAGTTGTCTTTTCTGTTTGCATCATCATAATCATCATCTCTTCACAATTCTTTCCTCCTCTTTTCGATCACTTTTTTGTTTCCTCTGTCTTTGTTTTCTCCTTTGTTCCCATTTCGTTTCACGCCACCTCCCCCTAAAAACACACGCCTGCATGGCGCAGCCCCAACCCAACCGCACGAACGACACAATAGCTTCAGGAATGAACACACAGGGACCGGAATCAACAGCAGCGGGAGCCACCGCCGTGGTGAAGGGGGGAGGGGAAAGCAACACACAAACACACACACACACACACACGGAGAGAAAGAGAGAAACACCGTGCCAGCTTCAGTGGTCGCCGCTAGTGTCCTCCTGCGCCCTTCGCACTCCTCTCCCTCGCCCCTCTCCTGCTGGTGCCAGCTGCGTTTCTTGGATTCTGAAGTGGGACAAATACAACCGAACACCACACAAAAAAGAGATGATGAAGAAGAAGAAGTCGACCAAAAGAAAAAAAACACAAACAAAAACAAAAAAAAAACGCAAGAAAAAGCAGAGAAAGAAGATCACGGTATCGTCACGATAACTCAAACGTCTCTCCGCCGTGTGCAATGCTGAACTGCAGCTTCTTGTACATGAGCTCCTCCGTGGGGTACGGTGGCAGCTTCAGATAGCGAAAACACGTGTTAACGGACGGCAGCGGCCAATCGGCAGCCCGCATCGATACCATCCCGTCGCACTCCGGCAGGGAGTCGTGCTGCCTCCACTCCTTCTCGCTTGTGCTGCTGTCGTAGCCGCCGCCACCGTAGAGCGTCTCGAGCACGGAGCGCCGCACCACTGTGATGGCACCGAGCGCCTCTACACCCCCGGCTGGCAGCCGCGGGCAACCGGTGCAGAAGAGCAGGAACGCCCGCTGCTCCGGCGGCGTGAGGCGCTTGGCGAGGATATTTTGCAGCATCCGCATCTGCGACGAGTCGTTATGGTAGCCGTGGCCGGCAACGAGGATCGACTTTATCTCCGCGAGCGTCCAGAGGGGCTTCGTATCGTCCCTTCTACAGCCGCACAGCAGCGCCATCGTCTCCCGCGCGTCGAGCGGGGCGAAGGCTTCGCACGGAACAATGTCACGGAAGCCGCGCACAATGAAACGCAGCGCAAACTCCACCGATTCGTACAGAAGAGCACCGGTAGCACGAAGAAAGTAGCGGTAAATGTTGTCTGCCGACACGCTTGTCTTCGCCCCGCCAGCCGTCATCTCAAACGCGTCGTTGCCGGGCAGTGTGAAGGGGATGTTGAGCCCAACCAGCATCGGTGCGGCGAGGGCACGCATCGAGCGCAGACTTGCCGCAAGCGTGTTGTCCATCAACTCAACGTCGTCGAGGGTGAGTGCCATGAGATCGATGGGCCGCTCAGTCGCGGCGTCTGCGGCGACACCGCGGTGCAGCACCACTCGTGGCGGCGGCACACCGGCTCTGAGAAATATGGCGAGCGCGGGGCTCAGGTCAAGTGGGAACACCATCTCGTCCGTGAAGGCGCGGCCCAAGGCGGCACCGATGAGGTAGTAATACTGGGCACGCTCCTGTTCAAGCACCACACAGTTTGCAAAGCTTTCGAAGGGATCAATCAACAGCTCCCCACCGTCCCGCAGCTTCTGCGGCGTCTTCACCTTACTCAGAGCCGGAAAGTGCTTCACCATGGTAACACGCGGGTACAAACCCTCTGGTTCTGGAGTCAACTCTGCCTCGCCGTCGCTCCTGCTGCTGGCTGCATTATCACGCCAAAGTTCGAGCCGTGCCTTCCTCACCTGCTTGGCAATGAGTGTGTAGAAGTGCGCTGTCGGACCCTGACCAACCCCAACGTCCCCCTTAAACTCAATAGATATTGGGAATCTGGCGTCTGCACTCTTGCGCAAAACCGTGTACGCATCGTGGAGGAGTGTGTTGCGGTCCACCCGGAACTTATGCGTTGCCCAGCGTGCCCACTCGGCAGGCAGGACTCTGATAGCGGAGCACGACCGACTCGAATGGGAAACTTTGATATGATCATGAAGCGCACGTCGGGCACCGTACGCGAAGAAGCGGGCAATGTGCTCCCGCACATTTAGTGGCAGGAGGAAATGCGCCTGAGTAAGGATGAAGTTGACCCAGCGCGGCACAGAAAGGCGTGGCGGCAGCACGGCTACACGGAGCGCTGATGCTGCCAGAGATCTGACGACGAGTGTCGTGAAGTGGGCGCTCACAAACGCAGTGCTATCTAAATCGAGGACACGCTTCTTGATCAGCGGGTGAAGTACTTTGTGAAGGAGAATAAGCAACAGGGCCTCGGAATTTTCGGCTAGGCGCGTGGGTTTTCGTAGCACGTTTGGAGAACGCAATGTGTCGAACTCTTGGCGTGACTGTTCGCCACAGGAACAGTACTTATCTTCGTCCCGCTCGAAGTGATGAAACAAACAGCTTTCAGTACTGCCTATCTTTGAGGGGAGATCTATCGGCGGAAGTTGTTGTTGACCCCCGGATTGAACTTCTACTAGCATATCAAATGCATGCGTGCCGATATTTTTGACAGAGGCATCAGCAGAACTCTCAACAACGAGCAGACAGTCTTCCAGCTGCTCCACAACATCCAGCATCCCCATGTGAAGTGCGCGTTGCATGATGTTCCCGATTAGGGTCTCTTGGTACGCGCAGCAGCCCCCGGGCTTGGTATACAAAACGTAACGTTCTTCCATGGCGCTACGCAGCAGCTGTTCCATCTCTTTTGTTTCCTTCGGCCCCAGTTTTACACTATCCTCTGGCCGTTTGCTTTCTGATGACGGTGGTGGTACTTCTGCTTCTGCTCTTCCTGCTGCGGCGGAACCAGCGTTGGGGCCATGCGAGAATAAGGAGCTCAGTATGCGGCGCACCTCCTGGCGGAGCATGGCGGGGTCTAAGTGTTCATTCCTCCTCGCCATGACAGTCTGGATGCGCTGCACAAAGTAATCACTGTTCTGCAGCGCTGATTTTGGGGCTGGCGCAACATCCGTGTTCTTCGTGGAAGATGAACCTGTGCGAAGGAAGCGCTCAATATCGCCGATACTGGCAAACAAATGGGCTCGAGCAGCCAACCTGGGCCGCTTAAACGGAACACGGACACCGCTCGCGGATGTGGCGTCCTCAGTGTTCAGCAGAGGGCTCCCAACTGAACCGCGCCTCTCGTGATTGAATTCATGGTTTGTGTAACACTCCATACAAATGTGGAAGTCGCACGGGCTGCAGCGGAAGCCGGAGTGGACCTCTTGTTCGCACAATTCGCAGAGACCTGAGTGATTTATCTCAACAACTGCCTGCATCTTGTGCCCTTGCGGACAGTAGTCACGCAAGTTCTCACTTGGTCGTGACAACGAGCTTCGCCTATTTGTAGTCGAGGTGGAGTTCATTTTGTTATCATCACCTGTGGCTCCCTTCTCAGGATTGCCATGATTCTTCTTACAGCAGAGCGACACAATCGGTGATATCTGCGCGCACGCCGCCACGGCCTTGACGGGCGGGCGACACGTCACGCGGTGAGTCCACAGTAACGACTCTACGAGGGGAAAGTTTGACTCAAGGGGGAGAGTAGAGACTGAATTTTCGACCAATGCCAATACCCCGAACGGCCGCGCCACTGCGGCCTTAAGGAAGCACTCAAGACGCTCCTTTACACAGCGCTGGTGAAGGCAGTGGGCTGTGCGCATGTCACCCAAGATCGTTGTGTCGGTGGCAAATCTAGACATGAAACTTCCATGCAATCCCCCACTCGCTGACACATTGGGGGAAGCATCGTTTTCCTTATTGTTGCCGCAGTTGGCTCCCAGCAAGTAACTTAACACAGCATCCGCGATACCAAGCTTCGATGTCTCAAACGCCGTTATGGTTCCAACAGAAAGCTCCATAACCTCCAAGAGACGCGCCACGACACTGTGGTGCACGCCGGGCTTCGCCGCACACGTTTTCAGATCAACCACGGCTTGAAGAACCACTGTCACATCCACCGTCTCAAGGGCGAAGGATCCCTGCAACGAGTGTAACTTTTCTAACTCCTCATTGATTACACTGTGGAGTACGGCGGCTGCTCCCGCCAGATACTCCGTGCGTGTTTGGGGTGCCTCCACCACACCACCCTGCGACGCGGCGACTCCTGGCGCTCCCCTGCAGCTGCTGCCACCGCCGCCGCCGCCGCCGCGCGCGAGGATCTCGAGCTGGTTAAGCAGCCCGCACCGCTGCGCCGTCGTGGCAAAGTTCCACTTCGGTGCGTGTGGGTGGCGCAGCAGCCACACCAGCATGGTGAGAGCCACCGACTTAGTCGCCTTATCGGCAGAGACAAGTGCTTCGCGTGCCATTTCGCATAATGGACGGATTATTCTACTAAGTAGAGTCAATAAACGCTGATCTTCACCGGAGCGAATGGCGGCCTGAAGCAACGAGGCGCATGCACACACGCCCAACTGCATCGCCATCTGACCAGAAACCCAAACAACAAAGTTGCACAAAGCCTCCAGATACATCTCAGCAATACTCATGTACACTGGTGACGCCGGTGCGTCTTTATTCATGATATATAGATGATTCAAACCACTTGATCCTCTTGTTGTCAATGGCATCGATGATGATGATGATGATGCTGCCGTTGTGGTTTTCGTCTTTTGCTTGCCCTCCACGGCTAGTTTCTTGGACGATACCATCCCTTTTGCGGCCTTCCCTGGACACACCTTCGACTCATCCACAAAATGAAACACGAAGGGCACGAACTTACGTGAAACATTGCGATCACCACTACCGAAACCACTTGACATCTTCATCAAGTGCAGGTCCACTGTCATATCCTTTACGCGGATTTTGAGCGTTGCTTCTCTGCTCAGTCGAGCATAAGTCGTTTCCAATACGGCACAACCATCCTCATTGATGTCATTGCTGTGCCGCATCTCGTCTTCCCATGCCCACTGATGAACCGGCAGGAGGANCTTCGGTTTGGGTCCAAACGCCTCGCTCGGCACGCGTGGGCAGGCGAGAACGAAGAGTCGAATGGCCGCAATAGAGGCAATGTGATTCTTATCTCGCCGATGCGTATTGCGGGAGGACACCACACCACGCGGAAAAGGGTCATCAAGCAGAGTTGTGATCTCCGCATCAGATTCCCCGAACATAAGTTTGTAGAATGTCTGTGCCTCCTCTGTGAGAAGAGACTCATTGGCAACGGCAGAATCCGCTGCCATGGCGACAGCCAACATCGTCTCACAGAACAGAAGCCTCTCCGATCGAACTGTGTGGTCAAGGGCCACATTGTTGTCATTGAAAAGCAACAACTGGAATAATGTTCGACAAAGTTCATGTGTGACAACCTTCCGAGCAGTGGAAGGTCGGTGGCACAGCAAGGCCCGCTGCATGATCATACCAAGGCACTGCATCACCATCTCTAGAAACGACCACGCCTCAGGGAAGCTCTCAAGGCTCGCTGCGTACTGCTGAAGTGATGCATGGAGAAACGGGACAAGAACATCCTCAACGGCTACCACTATTGGTTTATCACTGGAGGGTAGTGCGTCCTTGTGGCTCTTTCGCTTTTTTCCCCCCGTGAAAAGGAAGGAGATGCGAAAAAACGAAGTCTTCTCCAACTCCGACGGCAGGATCAGTTTGGAACAGACAACGACTAGAACATCGAAAGCTTGACGTGCCAGTAACGTGTTTTCAGATGCTGCGATGCGTATGACATCTGAAACACCAAAGTGCAGGAGATAGGCACTGTGCTCATCCTTGCTGATGAAGCGAATGAGCCGAAGCGACTCCTCGAGCAACATCACATTGTCTGTATTGCTGTACTTCATCTTTCCAGCCAGAGTCCTGGAGAGAACCTGGCACACGGACTTCATCAGGCGCTTGTAAAACGGCGCCACCCCTTCGTAAGAACTTGGCACGTACTCCATGGTGAGGGATATAGCGCGGAAAAGCCTCGCCATCGCATCCCCGCGAAACGCAAATTGTTCCTTTTCTGTCATGTGAACCAACATTGGTATGGCTGCATCGGCGTCGAAGCCACGCAGGTATCGTTCTGCACCCATCACTAGCGATACGCAGATGCTCTCCAGCGGCGCCAAGACCTTATCTGGGTCATTTCTCTCTCGGTGTACCGCTTTTAACTGCCGCTTGGATTCTTCCCGGGGCGAATGGCCTTGAAGCATAACAGTCCGAAAAAAGCGTTTTGCTCTCCCGCTCTCCTTCGATATTTATGTATGAGTGAATGTATGGGCTCTGATTGAATGAATATTGTATGCACTAGAGTGTGTATGTGGCGGTCTCTGAGAACAGTGGCAGTAAAGCCCTACCACCCAAATGCACCGCAACCTCTAACAAAACAACAAGCACTTCTTGGACACAACACTCTCAGTAGTACTCCACAGTACCGTGAATGATTATCGACAATACTGTTTACACTCGCTTTGTTGAACTATGATTCCTGCTTCTTCTAACCAGCTTTGCTTTTTCTTGGGACGTATTCGGTTCCTCACGCAAGAAGGGGTTAGGGAACACAGAGAATAAGAGAGCGCGTGAGAGAGAGAGAGAGAGCGAGGGAGAGAGAAGTAACAGAAAAAAGAACATCCCACACAGGGCGTGGGCGACAGAGTGTCAAGGAGAGAGTGAGGGTGAATGTGAGGCATTGTACGGAACGCACCATGCACAATCGGCACCTACGCAAAAAAAAAAGGTAAACAAGAACAAAATACACCTTTGCGCTGCACGTTGTAAGACGCCTTCACCCGAAGCATCAAACGAACACACATCCCTCCCCACCACCAATTACTGCAAATTCACGGTGATCTCCCCGACGCCCTCAAAGGCCGCCTTGATCACATCGCCAGGCTTCACAGCGGAGACACCCGACGGGGTGCCTGTGAAGACGAGATCGCCCGGCGCCAGCTCGACGGCGTGCGACAGGATAGAAATAAGCTCATCAATTGGGGTAACAACGGACGACAAGTCGCCCTTCTGTCGACGCTCCCCGTTCACACACAACTCGATGCCGCCGCGCCGAAGCACAGAGGGCATTGCTGTGCCACTGCTCTCTGGCGCCATCTCTTTGCACACCTCATCGCTCGCGTAGAAGAGTGCGGAGGCCTTCTGCCGCAACAGCTCTACCGGCATGATAGCGGAGAGCGGCGCGCTCTCGTCGGCTCCCTTTGCGAGGTCCCACGGCTTCCCGTTCTGCTTCGCCACCAGCTGCATGTCACGCCGTGTCATGTCGAGACCGACCGCGTAGCCGTAAATAATGCGCTGCGCTTCACAAGGCGACAGCGCCCGGTACGACGCCGCGCCGACGCGGGGGTCGCCGATGGCGACAACGAGCTCCACTTCGTGCTGGTAGTTCGCCGTCTGTGGCGCGATCCGCGCGGTTACGCTCATCGCCGGCGTGTGGTTCGTCTCGTCGCTCACGACGGCATCGGGGGGCTTGCTGAAGAAGAATGGGTTGGCCTTCGACACCGCGCCGCCCATCTCCTTCGCGTGGTCGGCGTAGTTTTGCCCAACACAGTACACGCGGCGGACGGGGAAGAGCAGGTTGCCCCCCACCACAGGGACGACCCTGCGCACCGCGGGGAAGACGAGCTGAGGCTTCATGAGCGTTCTCGTAAATGCCGGTTATATTTGTTATGCGGGTGCGTGTGTATGTGCTCTGATTCGCGTTCTGACGGGGGGGGAGCGGGAGGGAAGCAACAAGGAAGAAATTCTCTTTTATTATTATTCTGCTGCAGCGAAAGGTGCGGTTTCTCGAAACCCCCATCCTCCGCAGGAAGAGCCAATGCATCTCTCCGTTGCACCGCCGTCACAGACACGCGGCGCAAAAAAAAAAGCAGTAAAGTTTTCTGGCTGCGCAATATAAGGGAAAAAAAGAACGTCACTCAACGTGTGTGTATATATATATATATATATACATATACATTTTCACTTCTCTCGTCAGCTTTGCCAATAAGAAGAGAAAGCACTTCACTTATTCATATATATATATATATATATTCCCTTTCCCTTTCTTGCGCGACGCACTACAGAGTATCAAGACCCATCACATGCTCCATGAGCCAGGACCGCTGGCGCTGCAGCTGCTCACGCTCCTCCTTGGATATATCAACATCGCGAATGTGGGGCGACGCACGCTCTGACTGCGCCGCACCCGAGCTGCTGTTCCTCTTGCTGTTGTCCAGCGGAGGGTCCACGTCCGTTAGCTGCGGTGGCTCATACGACGACGACGACGGAATAGAACGATGCAGCGAAGCTGTAGATGCCGTGGTTGACGGCTTGCTATCCTCCTGACTGAGGTAGGCCTCTATTTCCAAGAACTTCGCCTCATCCAAGGCTGACGGCGTGGACAGCGAGGCGCCCACGTTTTCAGATCGATAGTGGAACAGCCGGTGTGAGAGGCCGGGTGGATCCAAAGGATTTGTGCTCGTTTTCGACGCCAAGCTCCTGCCCTTCTCGGCATTGTGAGACGTGTGGATAATCAGCTGTGAAGAGGGGCTGCTTTCATCATCATCAGCGAACAGGCAGCAGCCGAGCCGCTGCCAAAAATAAAGCACAAGAAAAGCAACTACAATTAGTAAAATGACAGCGGCTACCACAGTCATGGCAACACCCACGCAGGATATCCGACCACACGACTTTGTCTCTGGGGATCCGAGCGCTGGTCTCAGGAGTCGGCAGTCCCCACCAACGGCGACAATGTGACGCGGATCACCTGTCATTTCGTGGTACGCCTCCGAAGAACGCGCAAAAACATTCTTCTGACCATTTCTGAACTCACTGTGCTTCACTCTATCCAATCGATACAGGGAGTGGATACGCTCTCGGCATTCCGTATAAAGTTGCACTGGAATCGTCTGTGACTCGATTTTCCGCATACAAAGGAGTATGGGGTGAGATGCACAGGGTTTTGTTACATTTGCATTATCCACAGTCCCTGCGTGGTGTGGCGTAGAGCAGTGGAGCGAGCATTCCGGGACCTCACCAGACGGTGGGACGGAAGACGAATCGCCCTCCACACGGGAGAGCCCCGGGAGGACGCCATCATGCAAGTCGTCTTTGAGTGCCAGGAGAAACGCCGTTGTGGACTCCCCTGACGATGGGAATGCGGTGGCGTTCAGGTAAACGACAATGAGGAGCCCGTGGTCCCTTGGAAGGAGTGACACCGAGCCTGATAAGGAGGACGAAGGGGAATGTGTGGGGGGCCCGTGGACGACGATACCACGTGCACCAGCTGCAGCGAGCACGACAAGTAGTGCCCACAGGAGCAGCACGCCTTCCCACACCACTGCACCTACACGTGGATATGCCATTTCTCTCGTGCGACCACAATTCGCGGTTGCTCTTTTTTTTTTTTCTTCTTCGCCCCCACTTCCCCTTAGTGGAATGCAATGGAGATCCAACTGTGTGAAGAAGGGCGCCACTACCTACCACAGCTTTAAACCTCTGCAAATCAGTTTTTTTTTTTTGGTAAAGGTGAAGGGAGATTTGCCCAAAACCAACGAACAAACATAAATGCCCAGCGAGAAACACGTTGTGGATATCCCCACTCAAGGCGCAACCACACTTCTCAGTGCTATCTGCACCACAAGCAGAAACAGCGTCCCCGAGGAAAAGAGACCATCATGTCTCATTCCCCCTTCCCAGAGAGAGTATACAAAGAACACCACATACGTCTTCTGCATGCAGGTGGACACACTGCACGTTTTGTTACTAAAAACAACTCACTTCCAAGCAAAACGCATCAAACAACAAGACATTGATTACCTTTCCTAAACATCACACATCTTTTGGCTGAAGGGGCACTACAAGACTGTATACTTTCTCTTCCGAAGCATGCCTTGCCAATTTCGGGCACAGAAACGCTACAACAAATATGATAATCAATGTTAGCGCGATAAGGATAATAAAGGCGAGTACCACTATCTGAACGGGAAAGCAGCCCGTAAACTTCACTGCACAGCGGGGGTCACCGCTAGATTCTGGCTGTGTCTGTCCCACAGTTGCAGACCTCAGCGTAAGGGCATTCTCTGGCGTTCCATCGGCGAGGCTGACAGGTGCGCCTTTGGAGAGCAACGCGACTGCTGACGTCAGAAGAGGGAAGGGCGACGCGCTCGCCAGGGCCTCGGTGAGCCGACGCGACCAGAAGTGCAGGATCTCGTCCACGCCCCCTGCATCGTCTACAGCGGGGGGAAAGGCGACAGTTGCGCTGAGCACCAGCTCGGAGGGTCCGGAGATCCGTACCCCCCGCACCTGGACAAGGTTTGCTGTCACAAGGATTAACTTGGAGATGTCTTCCTTTGCAGCAGTTGCCAATAACGCCGTCACACTTCCATTCGCCAGCGAAGGGACACCTGAAAGATCGCCGCCGCAGTGAAGTGTGACGTCACCCAGAGAAACAAGCTGTTGGAGTGAGGTAAAGCCATCAACAATCTTTGCATCTGGAAGAATCTCAGACGCCGTCACTGTCGTTGTTGACGCGACGTCTGACGCCAATGTGACGTGCGCGCCAATACGCCTCATAACACTTCCTACTGCCAGAGCGGCACCGCACTCCGCACGCACGATGTCCAACTTTGTTCCGCCCATTCCCGCCATAACACCCAACTGAAAGTACACCACCACACCACCACCATCAATGGATGCAAAGGCGTGCTCCGGCAGCATTCGAACACTGCCAGCACCAAGGTCGTACGAACACAAATCCGCGATGTCCTGTTGAAGATCGACAAAGAAGAAACTTTCTGCCTGAACAGCGATACGGCCCAAAACGTCTGCCGAGATTACCTTTGCGCCACTTGCCGTTGTGTTGAGAACAACTACCACATCCAGGGCGTACTCCCGTGCTGGGCCCAGCTCGCTCACTCTCGCGTTAGGGTTATAGAAGAGCTCTGGGGAGCAAACCAACTCTGCACGTTCACAGTGAATTTTTCCACTGAATCCCGAGGAAAGTGGAATAGAGATATCCCCAGCGCTACCGTCGCTAGGGCACGACAACCAGCTGTGACCCAGAAAGATTTCTAATCGTGTCCCCATTTGGCAACGCACACGGAGGCACCGCGGTGATGAATCCTCAAATACGAATCCAATGCGCATCATGTTTGTGGTGGGGACGCAGCGACTTTGGGGACCAAAGTAGAGACCATAGATGCTGTCATCGTCGCTGGCCTGTGAAGGATCTCGACACTGACGGTTGACGTACCCCACCACTACAGGACAAAAGTCCATTAGTGGGGTAAGACCACCAAAAAAGGGATTGTCGGGAGAGTACTGGAAGTATGGAGGCAACCCCAAAACTATACCAACGTCGCAGATCCCCACCTCGGTGCGGTCGTAAGTACATGCCTGTGTTCTTACGGACTCATTGCACCACATCACTCCCATGGCTGTCGCATTTGCCGTGCATGCTTCCTCAACAAAGGCGCAACCGGCGTTGTGGCTCCATCCCATCGGCTCGGCGTATTGCATATTCACTGTGTAAATACTGGTGGACGAAAAAAAAGCAAGAGAAAGCTCGGATATTGCTGAGCGGGACGGTACCCCCGCCATGAGCTCATCCATCCACTGCCTGCGTTCCCAGTGCGTGCCGGCGGTGCCAGTTCCTCCCTCATCCTCCAACTCCACACCGTCCAGTGTGGGACATCCAAGGTGTTTTCTAGCAGCGGAGACAACGGCGGGAGCGGTTACAATTTTCACCTTCTTGCCCCTGCGTTTGCTCACGTTGACCATGGTATTCAGAATGGTTGGAGTGTACCCCAACGCATGGAACATCTCGTGCATAACAACGCGGACGTAGTATTCGTATTCCCAGCCCGAAACTTGCCACTCAATGAAAGACGGTACAAAGTTGATTTGCCCCACCACTGGACGCCCGAATTGGTCGAGTGTGCAGGCGCCTGCCCATGCAACCGTTCCCGCTACACCAGATGTCGTTGAGCTGCCCATGCCACCCGCGTGAGCGTAGAGAATCATATCGGCATCTGCCACACCAACGGATATGTGGTCATCTGAGACAGTCACATCCGGCCCACAGACGCCTGGACTCACCAATAGGGGCCCTTGAACGGGATTGACGTTAAAAAGCCGCTGGGTACGATACAAAGCAAGCGGTAAAGCAATATTTTCGATAAACCATAACTTCTCCACTGTCATGATGTCCTGCGCCGTGCAGGTATGCGTAGACCCCATGAAATCCGGTCTCACCTGACCCACAGCTGTGCATATCTTCTTTGGATCTGTGAGATGACTCGTGTCGACGACGATGCGAATCGGCTCCCATTTTGCGGTGGTCTCCTTTACCTTGCCCTTTGTGCGCTCACCCTTCTTGTTTGCTGATCTCTGTCCGTCTCGCTCGAGATTTAGGCGTATTAACTGTGATTTGCCCCCAAGCACTGGTGATGTCCATTTTGTACGCTCTTGATGTCGTTCATTTAGATGTCTTGGGACCATTCCCCCTTCATCTGTGCTGTAAGACTGAGACAAGGTCCCCCAATTGGTGTGAATGTGCTCTTGGAGCCTCGCGTCGGCATGAATGCAACGATGACTTATCGTCACCACCGCCGTCGTCACTTGGGCAGCGTAGAGAAAGGGAAGAAGCAGTAGCAACAGCAGCAGCAGCGGCACGGGGTGAAATCTCCACGAAGGGACCTGTTTACGTCGGAAACTCCGAATAGCCATGTGCGAGCGAGGCACTTTGCTTGTGGTCATAGTAATAAAAAGAACACATTGATATCGCATGCGTGTGGGAGAGAGAATAAAACAGAAGAGAGAGAGAGAGAGAGAAATAGAGAACCATTATGTTAGAGATATGACATAAAGCAGGATCCTCATCCTCTCCGAGAGATCTGGGGCAGGTTGGAGAAGACGTAGTTTCATCACACCCACGATAGCGGAACCAAAGAGGGTGAGACCGTTGTGTAACCGGGTTAGCGTTTCCTTTTTGGCCGCTCATCATTCATCCAAAAACAAAAAAAAAAGTGTGAGCAGTGGCCGGGGCCAGACAGAGAACAAGCGAGATCACAACGCTGGTTCGCCCGACCAGAGAAAGGGACCACCAGAAGCACAACATCGATGATGATAAAAGAGGAATGTACTCATACACGAGCAGTCTCCAAGTCCCAGGGAAGAGCATCGACATGAATGTCAGCAACACCAACAAGACAGGGTGAGAAACAAAAAAAAAATCCGACAGGAAGACAGACAGACATACACACACAAATAGATATCCACTAAGCGCGTGCGTGTATGTGCGGAAATCTGCATCAGTTTTTATGCTTGTCGCGAGGAGCTATCTTGTAAGCTTCTGCCTTCGTTGAGTTGCACATGCTCCACTACCGGCAGAAGCTTCTCCCACGATTCTTTCATACGCATAGCGTAATTGAGTTGAAGCTCTGCAAACGTCTTTAGAATGGCCTTCACATCATACTGCTTCTCCCGGTGGAAGCGACGGAGTTCCTCCCTGAAGGTCGACTCACCCGTCTCCAGCTCCTTCTTGGCCAGCTCCTTTTGACCCTGGAGCGCATTGTAGTCATTCTCAAGCTTCGCCACGCGCTCCGCCATTCCTCCCCTCAACATAGCTTTGTCCCTTTGTGCAGCGATATCGGCCGCGTGCTGATTCAGTGATTCCACGCGGTGGGTGGCGTGCTGCAATCTTTTGAGTGTCTCACGCACTGCGGCACACATTCCAGTGTAGTAACTCAGCGTCTCAACCACCTTCCTTGTTTCATCACCGGCATGTTCAATATAGATGGTGGAGAGCTGTTCGCTCTGCTGCCCAACCGCAATAAGGGCGTTACTCAGTTGTGTGGCCGAAATCCCCTTCTCTACCTCTCCAACCTTTTCAAAGGCAATACCAAACTCGTGTAGAGCCTGACTGGTGTTTCTGCGGCGTTCCACGAGCATCTGCACGCGCTCCCGCAGCATCTTGATGCTATCCTCCAGCTGCTGGATGTACAGCTGTGTTTCCTGCCACACAAGCGAGTTCGTCTCCTCGCTTCCCAGTGCCTCCGAGTAACCACTGCCAGACGCTGAAGCTGCTGCTGCTCCTCCACTGGGGTTCCACTGCCGTGTCAGAGCGTAGTTGACGCCCTCGCCAAGTGTCGTGGCGAAGGAGCGATCCGACGTCTTGATTGGCGCCTTTATCTTGCGCTCCCACTCCGTCTCGTCCATCTGCAAGAAGTTCTCCAAAAGCTGAGAGGTATAAATTTTCGGGTGGGCACCGAGACGAGTGAGGAACCTCTGGAGTGCACGCTGGCGGTATTCGTGTAGCCGTGCGGCCGCCTGCGTCGAGGAGCCAACGATCTTTTCGAGTGTTCCCTGCACATCCTTCTCGGGGATGGGCGGCACGATGCAGTAGGGGTACTCCTCGCACAGCCGGGCACGGAACCACTCGAAGTCGCTGTAGCGCCGCACCACGCTCATGTTGTTGGGGTACGTCGGCAGGCTGGTGGTGGTCCTGATCCCATACGTCCAGTAGGCAAGATCCAGCGCGCCTGCACCCTTGCGCTGCTCGGGCTCCAGCACGTGGAACTCAAAGACACTCTCCCCCATCTTGTTTTTTTCGTTTCCTTTGCCCCTCTCCCTCCTATTCTTGGCTTGCTTTCTGCTCGGCCTTCCCAATTTCGTTGAAACACCGTTTGCTAATGTCCTTTTTTGGTTTCCTAACTGCCCAAAAGGCGCTCTTCTCTGGTGGCAGCTCCGGCGGTCGTGCGTGCGCACGCGTATGTACTTCTTTGGATGTGCGATATGTGACTTGAGTGCAAAAGTACAACAACAAACAGCGGCAACAGCAACAGCAGTAATAGTATTCGTCTAAGCACACGAGACTGCAGGGCGGCGGCTGTGTTTGTAATGCCTCCGACAAACAACACCTTGCGCAGAGCAACGATGCCAGAGAGAGAACTCAAAAAGACAAAAAAAAAGAGAGTGCGTGTGAGAGAGCGAGCGTGAGAGAACTAGATATGGTTCTCACATCAGAGTTCACTGAAAGTGCGCATTTTTCCCGTAGTAGCAAATGCTGCACGCAATATACACGGATGTCCTTTTCCCTTCCCTCCCCCTTCGTTATATTCGACCCCCCCCCCTCTTTGTATTGCACCGGCCTCCCCCCTGCACAGCAGCACATTGGAGCCGCGTGAGAGAGTGAATGTGCGAAAGGAGCTGATACGTTTGCGAGGGAGAAAGAGAAAGTAATGGGGAGAATTCTGTCCACACCTGCTTCTGCAGCTTCCCCTTCCTTTCTCTCTCTCCCTCTGCCTCCTGCAGACTGTTTGTTCGTGTTTACACGTGTGAGTGTATACTTCTCTTCCTCTCTGAAGAGGACATGTGTGGGGGGTGTTGTGGTGGTGGGCGGCGACGTCGCCACCCTCCTTTCCTCCCTCCATCTTCTCTTCTGTTGCTGATGGCTCCGTCCATCGATGTGTCGAGGCCACAGCTCCAGGCGGAAACAGCGCACATATAGCGTCAATAGCAACAACAGCATCAGCAAATGGAATCCAACAATACCGCAGGTCACATGAGAATGTGCCCGCACACACCTACACCCCTCCCCAAGGTCTCCCACTACACCGTTTCCACCACCCGAATGTATTGCGGCTATTTTCATGGCACAACGCATACTAAACCAAACAGACAACTAACACAAGTTCATCGGTTACTGTGCGGGCCACGTACACACACAACTCAAATAGACATATGTAACAACGTATACATATATATATATATATA